GCCCTCGGAGACTGTTGGACCTGCCCACCTCTGTCCCGTGGGCAGGCAGAGCGCTGGCGAGGAGCTGCTTTGTGCTGGTTAGCAGGGTCACCGCTGCACAGCCGCCCTCTTTCACAGTGTCACCGTGCTGGGGGAATTTCACGGGCTTCTCTGCCACCACAGCATTTCCTCACGTTTAAAGCAGCATCCCACACAGACGGTTTGGTTTTAGGCAGGGACACAAACAGGTGAGAAAGGGGAGCTCCCTTCAGCCTTGAATCCAGCGCCTGGGTGCCATTGCTCAAGCTGTGGGATGTCCCCACCCGACTGGCCCCCCACCGTGGCTGCCTTTGGGCTGGGGACACGCAGGAGGGTTATTGCTGAAAGGGCAACGTGTGGTCCCCAGTCACACTGGGCAGGTCCCCAAAACGCCACGGGACTGGTCCCCGAGCCCTGCCCAGAGCCAGCCGGGGTGATCCATGGGAAGGGTGGGGGGACACAGGGCTCTGCAGGAGCTGCAGCTGGCTCTGGGCACCCCAGCCCTGGGGTTCCTGGGCTTGGGGGGCAGCGCCGGCCGGTCGGACACAGACAGAATCACACGCACAGCACGAGAAAAGTGAAGAGAAAGTCACGATTACAACATCAGCAACGACTAGCCCTAGAGGTAATGGTCATCTCACATCAAGGTTACACACCACGGGAGGCAGAGAGGACGGTGAGCAGAGTTTAGTCGGGTTAGTGAACAGAGAACCAGTGCTGAAGCACAGAAGGTAACACAGACACAGCAGCGCTGCACCTCCTTCGAGGGACCTGTTGCTGCCATTTCAGTTTCCTCGCAGGCCACTGGCATCTGCGGTCGGAGCATCTGCCCTCGGGTCTCTGGGTCTGCGTGGGAAGGAGAGCGGGGAGTCAGGCTGGGAGCCGTGCTCTGCCTTGCCCTGCCCACGCTCCAACCCTCTCTCTGGCCAAACGTGGGCCATGGCCCGGGGGAACCCTGCGGGCGAGGAGCGAGATGCCCCAGGGACTCATACTCAGCTCTCTAGAGGCCCTAAAAATAAAACCACTTTGGGGTGGGGGAGCAGAAGGAAAGGAAACGTAAAGCAAGGGAAAATCCGGACAGATGCTTCCTTTTCCTGCTGGGCT